GAGAGCGTTAATACCAAAGCAAAGAAAAAGACGCAAAGGAAAGCTAAAAAGACACCGGTTAGAACGACGCGTTCGACCACGCGCAGGTGAAACTGATTGTATCCGGTTCCTTCTTTGACACATCAGTCACTCAACGATTATAGTGCGACTGAAACTAGTTGAGACTTTAAATTTTCAACTATTAAAATTTTTAACTAATTCTTCATAAAGAAATATACAACTAGAACAGAACATAACTTGTAATCAATTTGACAATTTTGAATATTAATAATATTAACTGATTAATTCTGACATGTAAATCAAATTTTTTTATCTCTTTTTTCATAAGAGAAGAAAGAGATAGAAAATACCAATCTAGAGTGAACACTGAAATTTAATTTTAAATTTACTGTATAGTTTTCTAATATTAATATTTCCTTATCTAAGGATATAAGTTTTGACGTGACGTGAATCAAATTTTGACGTGACTGATGTGTGAACTTGAACATTTACCGGATATTAATAGTATGAGATTTTACGTAAACATTACTACATGTTACTAAATATAAACTTTAGTTTTATTTCTGCATCGATTGGCTATCAAAGTAAATTCAATAATTATAGAATTTAAAAATATCAAAAATGTTTTGTTTGACATAAAATCTCTTACTATGATTGTTTTTTAATCCAAAATGGCGTCGTTAACCGTCAAATTCCAAATTTGATTTTTTTAATGGACGCTTGCTCACGCGTAGTTTAATAATAAAATGAAAATGATTTAAAAAAAATTATTAAAAAATCTATTTATTCTAACGGATTGTATAAAACCATGCTTTGGTGGATTCAAACTGTTTTTTTTTTTCTAATTTAATACTTATGTTACTATTAATTTTTAAGACAACTCCCGTTTTTCCCCTAATTACCATTAGTTCTTAATTAATTAACGTTGTTTATTAATTATATTTTTTTAGTTAATACATTAAATTAATTGTATTTTTAAGTATTTGGGCGTGGTTGTCTCCTTAGATGAAATTCCCCCTTTTTTCCTTCAGTAATGCATGCTTAGATATCGGGGGCATAAAAATGAGGCAAAATAACCTCCGGATGCCGTTCTGTAGGTAAATTACCACATTATTTACAATACAAAATGAAATTCTGGAAATTACAATGAGAAGTCAAATCTAAGCATGGATGTAATAAAACAGACCAAAACGCTTTTATGATTTATGTATAAATTCATTTTTTTAATGATTTTGATGAATTTGAAATGATTTTAATCAAATTTACAATTAGTAAATAAATTGTTTTTTTAATTACTAATTGCTCGTCTGTCTGTCTCCTATATTTATGTCATCGTTGTACAGATTGCGTCATTTTTAATATATTTATTTATATAAAAAAAAATTCTTAGACAATTTTAACATATGAAATGAATCCGTTAAATGCTTTGACTGAAAGTTCCCTGTAATACAATAAAAAATGTAATAATAATTATTAATATTTAGATGGCAAATGAGGTGATAGTATCAAATCCTTTTAAGATAGCTACAATAAATCCATATTCAATAGATCTCTATATAAAAATGATTTTTGTTTGTGTGTGTGTATATCTGTTTTTTTTTCTAGAGTTAATAGGTTAAATTTGTAAATGTTTCGTTGAATAAATATTATTATTGTATAGGATTTTATCTATCGGCGATTAACTAACTTCCATTTTGAAAATATGAAAATATAAAAGCGGTGAAGTGCCAAAGTTGCTGGAATTTATTTGCTTTTCTCACTATGGGTTTAAATTTTTATGGATTCTTTACCAAATAAAAAGCTTCAGTGTAAATAAATGTACAATTTTGGTGGAAGAAAAAAAATTTTATGTATTACATTTTTTTTCTCGATTCTGTTCTATCCAAGAATATTAAAATCCTCCCCGTATAGCAAAACAATGTAAAACTAATTTACTTGCACATAAGAATTTCACCTTTATAGGTAATATAATACCTATAAAAGGTAAATAGATGAAACCACATAAAAGCTTGAAAAAGATAACAAACAGAAAAAGGCCGGGAATTTTATATTCTTGGTTAGAGTGTAATACTTTAAAGGCCTGTCCCACCACTGGCTGGTAGAGGCTCAGATAGATTAAAAATGACGTCACTGTCAGGTAAGGGAACAAAATCTGATATTTCCATCACACTTTCAATTTAATTTATTAAAAAATTAATAAATACACACCACTTTCAATTGTTATCTGACAATTTACAATTTGGTGGGACAGACCCTTATATTCTTGTGCTTAATATGGACATGACAGTTTGCAGACATCTAAAAACAAACTTTAGTAACAAAACAATATCTTTCTCTCTCTTTATTTCAATAATAATGAAAGAAATAGATGTTTCAAGTATTTGGAAAGTAGCAAAGGTAAAGGAACTACAGATAGAATAATATTGTTTTTTAAGTAATAGATTTTTTAATGTGTAATCTATATAGAATTGCTAATAATCACAATATGGATTATAGATTTTCGCAAATGATAACCTAATAAGCAATAAATAAAAAAAAACTGTTTATTTCTGGCTGTTCGCGACTTCGTCCCCGTGAAAAAAAATAAAAAAACATAACCTATATTACTCAATGATCACGTAGCTTTTTAATGGTGAAAGAATTTTTTTAAAATCGGCTCAGTTTTTTACATACAAAAATGCCAATCTTTCCTCTTTATAATATTAGTATAAACTATATGTGGGTAAAAACTTCATATTTACTCGTGTGACGCCATGCACAAATATCGTGATACAAGCTAGAGGTTATTTGAAATTTCAAAATTAATTTGAATGTAATAATAAAATTGGTTTGGCTGTTTTATTTTGGATAAAAATATAATAAACCCGGTTTTGCTCGCAAATTCGTTTGCGCGCAAATAATGTAGGCATAAAGCGTAAGTTCTGATATTGGTCTACACTTTTTGGGCTGTTTTTAGGTTCTTTGCTACACACAAGAAAACAAATATTTCCTTTAAATATTAGTGTATGGGTCTGTCCCACCACTGGCTGATAGAGGCTCAGATAGCTTAAACATGTTACTGTCAGATAAAATCCGATATTTCCATCACGTATTTTACCCGTTGGATTGTTAGACAATTTACAATTTGGTGGGACAAGCCCAAAATGTAAAGTAAATATATAATGACTTTTGTTATCAAATGTATGCGAAAATCAATGATCCGTATTTTAAAAAAATATTATATTGTTGTATATATGCATATATATTTAATGTTAAATTTGACGAAATAAAAAAATGTTTACTCGTTAACTGAAATATATATATACAAGTACAAACATATTAATATCAGAAGCAATATATCTATCAACAATGTTATATATTGTTTTAACATTGTTGATTAAACGATGTCTAAAAATAATTCCTATGTATATATCTATGTATAACTTATATACTGTATATATTTATATATTTACAACATTCTTGGTGTAAAGAATTCAGCTAATATCAACACCAAGAAAGCTTTAAAAATACAATAAAACATTTTATAATACGCAATTTTTAAAAAGTATATGTTATATCCGCCATAAATCTGTTATACCTGAAGTTGGCTACAGAAGTGATGCATTTTAGAGCGAGAGAGACATATAAGAGGTTAAAGTGCGAAAGAGAAAGAACTATATTACGAAATACGAATGTCGCTAGCTTCAGAGAGGTGAACATGGCTTAGTAAATATGCCCATATGTTAGTCGTTCGATGCGGGTATGTAAAAAATTCTAGCTTTCAAATCCCGCGTGAATGCCTCAATTTCAAATTGCATACATTGATTTTCTTGTATTAGATAATAATAGATTTAACATCTCTTATGAATTGTCTTTGCTTTTAGGTGTGATAATTTTTAAGCAGATTTATTCTAATGTTGAATGCGGCGTTAACTGTAGCTTGAAACAGTTTTTAAACATTGTCTATGGTTAGTCTAATACAAGAATGAATGTTGCTTATAGAAGCCCGCGCGTTGTAATTAAAATAGGAAATTTTGAATTTCCATAGTGTGAGACTAGCCTTTACATCACTTACGTGGTAACGATTTTTGAAGTGCACTTAAATGGATTGTACCAAAAGATTATATAATTTTATAATAAAGTGTTAGAGGTTATTATAGTGATGTCGGCGATTAAACAAATTTTTGTAACGCGTTACATAAATGCCGGCCGGAGATATTGGATTGTAATAAATATACCATTTTAACATTTGTCATGTGTTTTATTCGTACTTTACATTGTTACTTGATGATACTCCTATTACCTATAAGATGATTGTGGATGATACAAAAGGCTTTGAGCTATTCCGGTTATTCCCGGCCATAGGAGCTTCTCTCGGGGCTACCTTGATCGTGGCCGACTATAAAGTTTCTCAACCTCTTTCTGAACTCTGGCTTTGAATTGAGTGCGGTTAGGCCGCGGGTCCTCACAGCACTCGCTATTTTGTGGAATGTTCTCAGTACGGAGATCTGAGATAATGGATGGGATCATTTTACAGAAAGGGTCCTATTCAGATCAGTAACAGGATTCATTAGAAAAAGCGCCATCTCTTATTTTACGGTGTGACTTACGAAGACACTTTCGATATTGCCATGATTAATTTCCAGCGATTTAACATAAAGGCTATGATTTTTTTTAACAATTGCAACTGTGGTACAAAATGGGCGTATCATAGACATAGGAGACGTGACAAATTGTTTTTTATTCTATGGCGACATACGTCAGGTGGACATGTCTATTTTGTGTTGTAAAAATAATTAATTTCACGACGTTGTGTGCAACAATTATGTGAATAATGAGATGAAAGTGTAAATAAATGTTAATTTAGTGCTCAATAGTGATTATGGCGCATAGTGGTGGTGTTCTAAGTTCGGATATATCTCGAAGGAATCCACAAGATGAATACGAGCTGGTGCAACGGATCGGTTCAGGAACGTATGGCGATGTGTATAAGGTAGGAGACCTTTCTAAACTTTATTTTTTCACCTCATTGCGTGATTAATAATCTAAATATTTCGGTATGTATCTGATTCATGCTATTGGTTGTCGTTAAAAACAATTATTGGATACATTTCTTGAATATGATATCCGATTGTCTAATTTGTGAATTAAATCAAATAAAAAAGTATTTAATGCTTATAATTCGATCATATACACGCTAGTGTTCTTAGCTGATGTACCGATATGGCCTTGGTACGCATTTTCGCATAATATTTAGAGATGGCACACCCATGTGTTTATAGTTGCATTAAGACAAAGCACTCATCTCGATTTGTTGTACGTTTTAGACCATAATACGTTTTAGTTGACATGATAACGATTTACGTATAAACTAAAGAATATCTTGACTTCATTCAGATAAAAATTTTATAACTTTTAAAAACAGAACTTTGATAATAACCCTCTAATTCTGTGATATCATGTATTTGATTAGAGGCTTATTAAAGTTCATTACACAATGATTCACCTCTTTACATAGTCACTAATTTTATGGTAACATGGTGTTCAGTCTAGAATTCGCTGTAATCTGTTATATCTAAAATGATCAAGAAAATAGATATTTCTTGCAGTATTTTGCGATAATTATACTGATATTATAAAACAAAAAAATTGTTGGATAGATGTTTGTTACTTTATATCTCCAGAACAGATAAAATATTGCTGAAATGTCTAAAATTAGCATAGATATAGAACAGAGTATGGAAGAACATATAGGCAACACATAATTTTTTTTTAGTTATTTACAGCTGGAATTGTGGTTGACAACTGGGCATTTATGGAACAAAAATGTACATCTCTGAATGTAACTGACGAGAAAAGTGCAAAAGATTACTAACCATCTTGTAGTATAATTTAATTCAGTACTGTTGGCCTAGTTATTACACTGACTTTATTAAAAATCATTTATTTTTTATACATTTGTATGAGCATTAACTTTTGCCCTCGGCTCCATCCACATTGTATAAAAAAAAACTAGTATCCTATGTGTTCTTCCAAACTATCCTCTACATTTCTACCAAATTTCATTGAAATCCATTCAGCTGTATTGGCCACAAACATCCATCTAAACTTTTGCATTTATAATATTAGTATGACATAACTATATTTTCATATATCTTTAGTTAAAGTTAATCTATAGATAAATCAAGTATATAGTAAGTATATACAATGATGTACAAGAGATGGCTATTTACTGTGGTAATTACAATCATTGGAACAATGCATCACTTTACATAAATTAAATGACCTTGTGACAGCATAGCTTTGTACATGCTAAATACCAGGGGTGGTAAA